ACGTGAGCATCGGAAAAAACGTAAAAATCCCGAAAATCAATACTTCGAAGCATTAGCCGTTCCTACAAAAACGCATAAACACTCATACATCGATATAATATATCCACGCACACACGGCACGATACGTACAATTAATTTAAACGCCGCATTAACGCAAACAGCCGTCCAGCCTATAATGGACCCTATAGGCCATATATATTGTAAGCCGCATAACAGACATAATGGGGCAAATTCGGAGATTCCGTCGCATCGCACACATAGATTCACGAATAATCCTCAAACTCCCCCGCACGCGTCCGCACCCACCCGTGACATATACCTACCCTCCCTGCCCCCCAAACCAGCCAAATGGCCCAATTTAATACAGGTAATTGCCCGGGCTATTCAACACCCGCGCACCCTTGGCTATCGAATTCCATCATCAATCGTTATATCCTCTTCCCCCCCCCCATGATATATATGCCACATGCGCGTGCCGGTGTACCCATTCAAACGCGATGATCCGAGAGTCGATGACGTCCAACCGCTCACTAGCCATGATATTCACCCTGGTAGTAAGCACATATATAGGTACTGCAGGACAGGATGCTCCCCTGAATGGCCAAAGCGCACACGCGCTCCCAAAACAATATATCCCCATATACCTACACATATACCTATGTGGGTACACTTTAAAGTGTAAAACGTGCGGAACGAACAAACACACAAAATATCCCGTGCGCATCATCGACATATGGGGACGAGGAGAGATATATGTTAATGCACGCGAACGTCGTGTGCGGGAGTGGTGAGATTTTATTGTTATTATTGTTTAGCCGGAGCTTTAGAGGCGTCGACTTGTCGTTTTAGTTGTTCTTATTGTTGTGGTGACGCAGGGGGATATATAGTACCAGAACTGTACCACTATTCTCTCTCTCTTGGTCGTTTTCCCCTTTCTCGCTCTCTCCCTCATCTCGGCCCATTGTAACTTTTCGTCCCAGCTAATTTTTCCTTGGTATTTTTATTATTTCCGTCGGAAAAGGTGAATACATGTATATATGTGTGCGTGCATAGGTAAACCGCAGCTGCTGATGGTTGGTTCTTCCCTCGTACGACGGACATCGGTGTGTGTGTCGTTAATTTTTGGGTTACTGGAATTATATAAGTGGGGGTTACCGGTATTTTTATTGGCTCATACGGATCAACGAGTGCATATTTATTTATATATAAATTGTATTACATTGGATTATACGCGTATATCAATTTGCAGGATTTATATGTATCCCGATCCCGACCTCTACCATCTCCCGAACTCCCCCCCCCCCCCAGTTGGGAGTCTTTCATGCGAGCCCCTAGTGCCAAGTTTCCCTCTAGACGACTCGTTATCAGGTTCAATTACAAAATTTCTTCCATCACTATCTATCCGATCCACCGTACCGACCGGTACCGACCACCATAGAACTGATGGTGACTTTATCGAGGTGTTGGCCTGCCTCTGGAAGGAAGTCCCAGTCATCCGGACGAGTGGTTTTCGGCATCCTAAGGTACACTCAACTCATATCGAAAAAGCCCAGGTTAGGAGGCCATATCACGCTAACCGCTGAAAGCCATTGAAGCTCTCATTCATATAGTTATATACACATACAAAATCTAGGGTTTATTCGACTTTGGGGGGTTCCCCGAGTTATAAGCCTCGCTGCTCGAAGATGATATTATTATAATGAGGTATCTGAGACGTGGTTATTGTATTACGCTTGAAAACAATATACCAAAAATATTAAGCAAGTATTCGAACAGTTTTATCTTTTGCACGAAAAAGTAGGTACTTATAGGTGATTAAAGGAGAAGGGCAACGCTTCCGATTTGGTCTGCATATACTATGCACATTGTCGGACCCGTAAGTGGAGATAAGCCAATAAGTAAAGGACATCTCTTATCAAATTGTCATAGTGTACAAATGACGTGGTCCAGATTTCGGAAAAACTCGTATCGAATGTACTGGGAACCGTGCAAACGGACTGGTGCACGTGTTTACCCTGCACCGCTGATGGCCATTGAAAAATTGTTTGAAATTCCAACGCGACGGAAGCCCCATCGTAAGTACCACGGATAATCAGTCATTTTCTCTCGAATGATCGTGGGACGCGGTCTGTATATACATATATACGACCATCATATAATGCACGGCATATAATGGCCTTCGCAAAAGTCTGCGTGCAGCACTGCCATGTATATATATAAATGGTGCATCATAGACGCAACAGGGAAACGCTCTCGACGCTTGCCTCACTCGGCGGAGTAAGTATACATATATATATGTATATCCCATGCAGTCCCCGAAAACGAGTCCATGATCGTGGGAGCTCTTGTTTATAACCGGAATAGTTTACGATGGAGCCTCCGTAGGAGTCACGGGACTTTTGCGAAACATATACTTATTCCGGGCCCCCGCTTATTGGCACTTTGTACATGGTACACGGGATATATATATATATATAATAGTAGTGCAAAAGCCAAGAGGATGAGCGACTCCCACGTCGTTGGTGCGGTTTTATGACGCGCATGCACCCGAGTTCGGAGTCAGGGGGAAAGTTTAGCGTCGCGTCGTGCCCGGCAGCTCATCTTCTCTCGCTCTCACTCGTCTTGTCCCTCTCTCATCCCGTCGTCGTCGCTGTCAACTCTGCGTGATGTCGTGCTGCGCGGGTCGCCCAGATATATGACGAAATAATATTCCCCCGATGGACTCTCTCTCTCTCTCTCGTGAGTTTTGCCGGCTTCAGTTCCGTTCTCTGGACTCATGTACTCATATATAAGTATGGTACTAGTCGCACTGTCCGACTGAGGATGCTTTTATTGCACCTCGGCAGTCCTCGTCGCTCAGTTTTACGACAGAGAGAGGAAACGAAGGGAGAAGTGCACAGAGAGAGGGACAGCATCAGGAGATAAAGGGTGACGAGCCCATTAGGATAATTGAAATATTGATGCTTCCACATTGAGTGCCATGAGAGAGCACCTATATACATCTATTGGATATGCCAATGTGGTAATAGGCGTAGATGAGTCGTTACTTTGAAGGACAATGCAAGATGTATGAATATTATATTATAAGGAACTGCAGTGCTTCAAACCCGTGCAAGTAACTGTGGGTACATACATACATGTAGGGTGGGGGTGAATTTTCGAATATTTTTCCCACGCCGAGCGTCGATCCGTGCACGGGATCTCGAGACTGCATGTCGAGGAGCTGCACACTCAGGGTCCATAAATATCCATACAAGAGGTTGCGGAAACCGTGTTTCCTGTTGTATATTATTACTATTATTATTGAGGGTGTATACCACGACGAAATGCGATAATTGAGCTTCCCCCCAACCCTCCCGATTCTAATGACTTTTGACACGTGTATATATGGATAATAATGTGTCGTACCACTTTTGCCGGTACTTGTGTACGCGGAAAATTTTGCGAATCCTGGAAACACGAGTAACGGAATTTGTCGTTCCGTTCGGTTGTCGTTGAGTTACGGCTGATCCTGATCAAAAAGAAGGGTATATATATATACATATAATGCTTCCGTTTTATGACTTTTGGCCTGCACCGCGCTGCACTATTGGACACGTATACTGATTTTGATTCGGGGAAATGGTTTTTCATCTTTGTGTTCAGCGAATGCTACGAGTGGCCCTTTTTTTTCCCTTGGCAGATGCAAAGTACGATTTTTCGCTAAAACTACTTATGGTGCACACAAAAATGACGTATTTCGAATTTTGGGAATACGCGTTTATGTCGAACGGACTTTGCTATTCGAAAATCAAATTATTTTTTATAGTACGTATGTGGTGTGACGTTGAGGCGGTCGTTATTTTCCCCGTTACGTACCCGATCATTTACCTAAGGGTTTATGTCTCTAAAAATGGTGTTCCTGAAACTTATAATAAAATGTGTTTATTTTGTACATACAATTAATAATACGTGCAAATCAATGGGTATATATATATAATATACTGTCGAATTTTTTATAACGCTTCGGCACGTACAGAATCAAGATTCAAGGCCCTTATCAGCTTCGAATAAAGTGTCGTTGATTCACAAAAAATTTGAAGCGATTTCTTATACACATAAATGCGCATTTGTTCAGAGAAATGCAGGAATGCAGAGCCGTTATACGCACAGTTGGTAAAAAATGTCAGAATAATGTCTGTAAAACAAAAACGACTCTTTTAATTATACGTTTTAAAATTCCAATAATAGAATTAGCACCATGTTGAATGAGTTTATCTGATAAATTTTCAATCTGCATAGTGAAAAAAAAATGTTTTTAATACTAAATGAGCATACTCCTAGTCATAGAGCGAATATTTTTTCCTCGAGCGAATTGGAATTTGTTTAGTTTTTTATAAAACAAACGCGGTTGAGTTGTATATAATTATGTAACGAACGATAAAATATAATTTTCTGTAACATTAATCTTGTGTATAATATTCAAGTTTTCAATGAGTTGACGAGATTCAAAACCCAGCAATAATTCCATCATCCGTTATTCATGTAGGAATGGCGCGAATGGACGGACCGAACGAACCCAAAAAGCTTGACTCATTTACGAAGGCTCATTAGGTATCATGAGCTGAAAAAAGTTATGCTACTTAATTAACATGATATACATGTATCGATTCATAACATATGTATCAAATAAAACCATGTAAGTAGGTACCGAAATAATTAAACTGACCAAACTGCAGTTCACGGAATCACGGACCCAACTCACTGAACCGCGGACCGTGCAACCGTTGCGTTGTTGTCAATCAGTTTCAGTTCTCAGTCAAGCATTGAATCATGCCTACCAAGTATTTACGATTTACGATACTTCATCGACCTACAACTTGCGCGATGACTCGCGTGATTCCCGCGCGATATCGAAATATTATATTAATCATCGTAGGTATGTGGTAGTATAGTTACTTATAATATACCTATGTGGTGATGTCGGATGTTGTGATGTAGTCTGCAGCAACTCTTGCTGTGTAACACTGCAGGCCATTACTGTCGTATAAACAATAAGTAAAAAGGTTGGTTTGGTACTTGGAGTTTATACATATTTATAAAAAAAGAGGGTTTCTCTGTTGTACCTAATTGTTTTTATTGCAGTGCCAGATTTCCTCTACTTACAACGTGTTCTTCCAATTTTCAATTTAGTGAAAGCGTATACGAAAGGTATTGTCGCTGTCTGTCGTGTAAATTATAACATCAGCGATTCCGCATTGCAGATGGAATGAACGAGAATACTTGAGTGCAGAAGTACAGAGAAAACTATAATCTCACAAAGTTACAACTCAATCAAGAGTCTCTGGTTCGAAGCTTCCATCATGTATCACTCCTTGTTAACCAACTTGATTGTTGACGTCGAGGTGTACGAGCAGTTGGTAAGGATGACAGACTTTCAGTCCCGCATCATCTTTATACTTCGAGCACTGGAAAAGCACCTTCCTTTTCCGTGTGCCTACACTGGTAAGAACAACGATGAGTCCGTGAAACTCAGAAACGAGGCTGAAGCTTTGACGTCACCAAATAACGATTTGTCAGTCTTGCTCAATGCCAGGAAGTTGTATTCTCAAAGCGTTGCCTTGGCAGAGCAGTCCTCTGATGCTATGATACGAGCTTACGCTAACAGGTCCTGTGTTCTGTATTATCTGTCCAAGTTCGAGGAATGCATCAGAGACATTGACAGAGCTTTGAAGGGCAACTATCCTGATAAACTTAGGCCAAATTTGCTTATAAGGAAAGCCAAATGCCTCAAGATATTGGGTCGTGAGGAAGATTTCAACGAGGTGTACAAAGAGATAAGTAGTCTGTTAAGACGTTTGGATATCAGTGATGAAGTGAAAGAGATTTTGGAAATGAGAATCAACTCTACAGTCAACAAGATCGATGAGTTGCTCAAACTCAAGGACACTTCTGTCAAACCGCCCAGCTTCGTGCCACACATATATATTCCATCTGCCTCAGAAGTTCTTGATTTGAAATTTAATGAAAAATTTGGTCGTCATTATGTTGCTACTCGTGATATTAAGCCCGGAGAGTGTCTCATTGCTGAAAAAACATATGCTATGATTATTAATCCATCCAATATTTACACTCACTGTTCGCATTGTCTTATGAAAGCCTGGGATAGTATACCTTGTGAACATTGCATTTATGCTATGTATTGCTCCACGAAATGCAAGGATGATGCTTGGAAGCAGTACCATGACATCGAGTGCCCTGTGAAAGGATACCTTTTTGCCGCGGAGACTCGTCAGACAGACATATTTTCCTTGAAACTAACTCTTTTAGCTGTCAGAGAATTTGGAAGTATTGAGAATCTTAGAAGAGAATTCAATAAAATCGACAATTGCAAAGGTATTTATGAAAAGTTGCATTAAGAAATACCCTCAAAAATCAACTTGTACTACTATCATTATAATCTGTACATACAAATTTTAGATAATCTTAATAAAAGTTTTTCTGATGATGGAATTTATCATAATGATCAATACAGGCCATTGTACAGTCTTATGACACATGAAAAGAATAGGGATCCAGAAGACATTCTGATAATATCATTGAATTCAGCTGTAGTTTTGTTTTATGTCCATATATACACAAATTTTTTTAGTCATTCAAATAAAAGCGTATCAGCTCTATGCGAAAATGCAGATGCCTTGTTCTTTGGGCAACAGATCGCTCAAAATTGTATGAAAATCCAACAAAACGGACATCAGGTCTATTGCTAGTTTTTACAGTATTTACTTGTTTAAAAAAAGTGTTAACCATCATGATTATCGATTAACAGATATCCGAACTACATTCATGCGATTTAGTTGAGTATGGTCGAGTTGTCGGTTCTGTTATCAGCATTTTAAACCATAGTTGTGACCCAAACGCAACTAGATGTCCAGTTGTTATAGATAATGTTATACACCAAGCAATATTTGCATTGCAACCAATTCCGAAAGGATCTCAGGTGCGTCAGAAAAACTCACTTGAAAATTAATAATTTTTTTATTCTTTTTACGTAGACGAGTACATAACTAAGGTCAATTTTTTAATTCTAGGTACTGGATAACTATGGATGTCACTATGATTATGTTTCTAAAGTAGAAAGAGATGAAATATTGAGTCGGTATTTTTTCAAATGTTATTGCCAAGCATGTGATGAAAATTGGCCTTTAAAAGAATTCCTACCACCGATACATGTAAGTAATAATTATTTTACCAGTTTCAAACGTGAAACATTTAATGTTTGATGAACAAAAGTTTCATTAAAACCAAAACTCCAAAAACAAAAAAGCTATTTTTTAAAGAAAGTCATAAATTAATTGTAGTCGTTTATCACCAACAAGAAGGATGCAAATGAAATCGAAAAGTTATTGAAAAACTGTCAAGAGTGGAGAAAGAAATACCATCAGTACACAACTTCTAGAAATTTTGATGTAAATCTAGTAAGTAATTTCAAAGTTATAATTCAAGCAATAACTAAAATATATAAAACGACGCCACGTCGCCCTAGCCGTGAGTATGCTGACTTACTCGATTCGTTACGGTACGCCTTGCAAACGTGTCACATACCTCAGTTTGAACAGTAGTGAAGTTTGATTAATCAATACATTTTGGACACTTATTTGTAATTACTTGGAAAAATTAATACTGAAAATTACTAAACCGTCTGTTATTTGTTATGTCAAATAGTGTATAAAGTTCTACAAACCCGGACTTTGTCATCAAACCATTTTTAATATTTTATACATTACGTTAATTACCATCCTTTTTTTCTCCCCATCAATAACGATTGTAAGATTATCGAAACAATCTGTACTGACTGAAGAGGACGAGACGTTTAACCTGCAGCTATATTTAATGTGTATATAATGTGTATCAATAAAATTTTGAGGCAATCGCAAAGATAAGTAACACGAAACGAGTGTTTTATGGAGCACTTGAACGATGCCCTTTTATCTATACAATATCAATAAAATACATGTTCATACTTATTTAGTTATGCTAAAATTTACTTAACGTATTATAAATGGGTCATTCTACCAAAAACGGTCTATTTTGTGGCCCAATCGATTAAAACGCCGCTTATGGAGATATTGTATATTTAACGAAAAATGCTCTCACAAATGCACGTAATTGAATATGGACGTTCCAATTCGGGCGTTTTGTATTCTACAAAGGCTGGATATTGCATACATTTTTTCGATTTTTTCATCACGATAAGCCTGTAGTACAGGTTCAAAAATTTGTAAATTCAGTCTCCCTAAAATAAAAACTATTGTGTCATGTAACTTCGCGAAGCTGATTTGTATATGATACAGATGCAGTGATGAAGTTTAATTTTCATTTGGTGCCGTGTAATCTCGATTTTTCGATGATTTTTTAAGAGCTCGTAACCGCTTATTTTTTTCTTATAGTCTGATATAAGAAAGTCGTAAAAATTTTTTATCGTGCAGATTCAGCAGGGCCCAAAAATATTAGCTTATGTTGGCTGTAGACAATATGAAAAAAATGTTTTAAAAAATAAAAAAATCAATTTCCAGTGATTGCAATATCCATTCTAGCGTCTGAAATATGCTCGTTTTCGTATAATACCTATATGTTAGTCAACTATACACAGTTGCGAAGATAGTTATCAAACATTTCCATTTTAGAGAAAGGAAAACTCTTGTAAAGACACAACACTTCACTGAGAATTAATAAGTACTAGTAAATAGAAAAATTTAGTACTCACAGAGGTTAGTATTGACGATAGGGCCATTTGATAGCTCCATGACATGCAGCGTTGAAATGCGTCGTGGCAAAAACTAAGTAACAACCCCCCCGATTTGTTTACGCATTATGGATGCTACACAAAAATGAAACATACGGTCAAATATAATATTTTTTGCAGTTAATCTTTTAGTATCCCTTATGCACTTCTACAGTGATTCCCTCGTTGTCATTAATTTTCTGTGTTTTAAATATCATGGTGAAAAATAGATCAAACAATTGCCGTTGACAAAATTTTTTTACATTTTGATAAGAATACGTGGCAAAGTGATAAGTGGCACCACAATGACAGGCATATTTCGAAAAACGCCAGTGAATCAATATTAAAAAGTTCGTTAATAGCGGTAAAAATGGCGTTCAAAGTACGAAAGGTTATGTTGTACATTGGTATAGTAACCTGCACTATCAATATTCGATATGTTTATATACTGTGGCTATGTAAACTGAGTTGTGATTTTTAGTTACTCTATGCATAACATTTCATCACGGCTCGACGGCTAATGCAAAAAAATACTTGTTCTTAATAAATTGTTACGGTCAACCCTAGCACTTGCCGTACGAGGGGATCTTTTATTATTATTGTCGGGGAATTGTGTAGGAAATAAAAACTTTTGATTTTAAAATAGGCTTTATTCAACATCGTGTATGAATATGGTAAAAGCTATTAGCGAAGCTCGAAGCATGGGCTATAATGGATTTGTTTCTGCCGTCAGATGGCAGTAGCGTGCCCAGGTAAGATTTTCTAAATTTTCTCATTTTCTGGATTTTAAATTTTTCAAAAAAACTATCCGCTTACGCTATTTGTAACCGCCTGTGCTGCCGCCCATCGTGGCCACCTGCAGAAATGACTTAATGTATGTAAACCATGTATGTAAGCCAAATCGTATTGCAGAGATAGGAGCTTAGTCATTTAAATCAAATAAATTATTATTTATTAACATTAGAACGATGAAACTGATATTTCTATGAAGGAAAACGAATGTTCAATAAAAAAGAAGTATAATTTTGCTCAATCACATCTTATAATTAAGACAAAAACATAATTTTTTCCTTTTTTTTTGAGGTTGTATGCTTTCAGAGCTAAGCCGAATGAAATGCATATCACCTTAATGATTTGAAAAATGTCGAGAGATGACTCCCTATGTGCATGTATACCTTTTATACATCATTAAGGTTATCTACATCTCATTCGGTTCAGCTCTGAAAGNCATCCACGAAAGAGAAAAATCGGTATAGCACGGGTGGGCAGATCTCCACCCCCCGCCTCTATCTCTTATCTTTCCTATTATCGATAGCTGGCCGGGGACCAATATGGCCTCCCCACCTCCTCCCGCCTCCACTGCCACACAGAGTTCGGATAAGTAGTATCTTCTTCTTCTTGCGTTTCTGTTATAACACCGCCATGCGCCTCTCGACCCTATACAAATATATATATTTGGTGCTAGGAGGGAGCATCCTTGTGGAGAGAGTTAGACTCAATTAATTAATCACACATTCTCGAATAAAAGGTTTGAAGAAAATTCTTAATTATAAGATGTGATTAAGCGAAATTATACTTCTGTTTCATTTAACATACGTTTCGCTTATGTAAATATAAATTTCATGTTGTCGTTTGATCCGCTGTGGTTAGCATAAATGGACGAGCTGTTGGCACCACCGATAAGTGGTTTACCTCGTTTCTCACCAGAGTAAGTGGATACACAAGCTTGCTATCGAGTGCAAATGAATGTTGGCTGTGTGCACATTGAGACTTATCTGGCTTGATAATATTATTAGCGGAGAAATTACAAATTTAACAATATACAAATATACACAAACAATCCTTATTGGAACCATAATTATTTTCAATGTATCTTTTTATTTATTTTTTTTTATATTATAGTGCTCTACGTCCGGCTCCTTTAATAAGGGCACTACTATGGGCACTTAGCACTTGGGAAAGGGACAAGGAAAGGGATGGGAGGCCTCCCATTTACTGAGAGGGGNTTTTCAATGTATCTTTTTATTTATTTTTTTTTATATTATAGTGCTCTACGTCCGGCTCCTTTAATAAGGGCACTACTATGGGCACTTAGCACTTGGGAAAGGGACAAGGAAAGGGATGGGAGGCCTCCCATTTACTGAGAGGGGGTAGGGGAAAATTAGGCAATTATGCTGCGAGGAGGTCGCCTAAACCCTCCTCGAGGAGCATTGCGTGGTGAAAAAGCACATGTGAACAATCACAGAGGTACTTTCCAAATGTCGCACTATGGCCGGGAATCGAACCACGGTCTCCCGCGTGCCAATCCACGACCTAGCCGACTGAGCCACTGCGCGCTCTTCAATATATCTATTGGCTACTATTGATATTGTATCGAACGCGAAGAGTCACAGTATTATAAGAAAGAGATAATAGAAGAAAAAGTACAAAGTCTGAAATCAAAGTATGTACGGATGCAAAGTAAGAGGTACAAAATTGAAAGGGATGATTGTGATGATTATGAGGCAAAGTGACAGTTATAATCCTAAAAAATCCAACTATTAAATTTAGCAAGTCACACAAAAGTAGATAAAAATAAGGATAACGCATAAAAATTGACGATTAGCGTAAACACAAATATTTTTCTTAAATCCAGCCTACACGACAAGATTTTGAATCTTGAGTAATTTGTATATATCTTGCATATGCTATTTATGCACCTAGTTCTCGCTCTTGATTTTCGAGACAAGATCAAGAATTTCTCGAGTCTCGCTCCTATATTCACTACTATTCGCTTTGAGCGCGATTCCGAAATCGCGCCCCCACTGGGCACTTTGAGAACGATTGGTCGTGATTAGAAAAGGACAGTACTATGAATTGATTACCACATGCTTGTAGAAAAGCGACATTTAAGGGTTGGCCACCTTGTGAATGGAGCCGGAAGCTTGATTTCATGATAATTACCTTTTGTAATGACGACCAATCGTTCTCAAAGTGCCCAGTGGGGGCGTGATTTCGGAATTGCGCTCAAAAAGCGAATAAAGAGTTTATCGACGAGACCGGTGGATTCATTTTTGCACCAATTCGATCCAAGAGAGCTCGCGCATGCAGGTCCATGTATAGGTATATGTGCAGCGGCGTCGTCAGCCGCGCCAAAGGAGATGAACCACCCGCAAGGCTGTGTCGGCAAACAGGGCCTCATAAATAACGGAGCCCCCCCCTGTTTGTGTGCGTATACACTCTCCGGTGGAGGTGTCCTGCTGTTACAAGCGAGGAGCATTCGAGAGCATATATACATATACCCGGTGGTGGGTATAGTGGGTTATCCTGTATACAGAGAGGGTGAGCATATATATCCATTTAATATACACCTAAGACGGCTTCGCGTAGAGCGCGCGTGAGGGTATACCGGGGGGTGGTTGCGTGCTTTTTTCCCCCCCTCGATTCAAACTACCGGCTAAATTACACAAGGGCTGTGTGCCCAAAGGCAGGGTTGCATGGCATAGTCGACCGCATGTGTTTGTGTACACGTATATATACATATACGCCAGCGTGATGTATTATATTGTGCGTGGTGTCGCCGTGTAAGTGGGGCTTAGGAGCTCCGAGCTAAAGTCCAAAGGGACGCGACAGCCCGTAGGGATGTTTGTTTTCACTTGCGTGTGATATTCGCACTTCTCGTAGGTAAATACATGTACTTGGGGATGAATCCCATTGCCGGGGACGCGGGTGTCGTGCTGTTTTTGACGGATTAGGGCAATTAAGCAATTTGCCGGCCATCCTTATGCGTTCAGTCGATTGATGGTGCGTAAAAACCCCGCTGTACGAGCACCTCGTCATTGTACACTTATATTACACGGATTTTTCAATAATCTATGCGCTTATACGCTCACTTGACGTATCAAAACACCTTAACGAGAGGGTTGGACCCTATTGTTTGAGGATGTTCTAGTGTGACTTACTATTTACCTCGAACTACAATTAGTCTCTAATGATTTTTTTTTTTTTTTTTTTTTTAATAACTACACCTTATACGCGCGTAACAATCCCTCACCTTGACATTGGTTCCGTCGAACGTGAATTGTATGTCCGGGTAGTCGGGGATCCTTTCCAGGTCGGTTTTGACGAAGCAACCGGCGGACAGCACGC